ACATTGGCTAAATGATACGTTATATCTGTCAGAATTGAAAAGTCACTGTTTTTCCGATCTGCCTAACTTCGCGGCGGTCAAACTATTCAAAATTTTTCACGGATGAGTACTATCAATCCAGGTATTTTCCGCGGACGGGCACTATCCATTCGGGTACTTTCCGCGGGCGGGCACTATGGGCTGATAGTGTCTCTCCGCCGATGAACACTATCACGTCACGTGATCGATTTAAACCAATAAGAACCGGAGAAAATTTAGTGGTGAACTATAATTATAGATAGGGTGCTGGATCCATTGCATGATACCCACCACGCATTCCGTGAGGTTCCCTTACTGTTCGTTAGCTGGTGCTTGGAGCACTGTGAGAGAAAAACGGCTTTCTCAAGAAAACAACACAATAGTCGATCAAGACAAGACTTGAATCCAAATTCTTGAGTCTTGCTTTCAGCATAAATTTTACCATTATATGGCTCGTTTTAAGGTTTTTAATTTCTTTTGATTACCTCCAAAGCTAAACGATTCGTCGTCGTTATATTGATATGGGTTCAGGTGATTAGAATTCGTACTGTTTCAACTCGTATCGAGGTGGCCAGTGGATTCCCTTACTTTGGCGAACTTTACAAGAACATTTACGTAAGTATGGATGGCATATCTAGTTATATGAGTATTTACTGTGTTTTTTTTAATTTGATTAGATGATCAGTTTGTTTTGCGTATTCAAAACTATAGTTAAGTCTAGATATCTCAAGCTTAAGGCTAATTAGTAAACAAACCCCTTCAGGCAGCTGGTACGTCGGCTGATAATGTCTGCAGATGAGATATTCTCCGAAAAATGGATATTTGGCCAAGAAGCGAAAGTTCGAGGGCAAATTTTGGGGACAATCTCTCAGCTAAAGACATTATTGATCAGCTGGAACATACCAACAAGCCAGAAAGGGGGTTATTTATTTTATAATCCTTCAATTAATTTTCGGATCGCACGGTGACAGCAAATTTTGCTGACTGTTTTTTTACTTTCCGCAGCAGCATTTGAGATCAGCTTATATCTTAGTAAGTTTTTTTTAATCCAACGAGTTCTAGGTCACCCCTAAACTAATGCTGAATGCTTGTAATATTCTGATGTCAAAATTAAAAAGTTGCCAGCACTTACTGCCTTTCTCAATTTTTGAAGCAAGTTCTTTTGACTCTTTTAAGGAAAGAAGATTAATTGTGTATCCTATTTCATGTACGCAACTTCGAAATAACATAAAAGAAGATCTGTGCAGCTGAAAATCTTTTTACCGTAAATTATTTTCTCGAGCAGATTTACCACAATGGCTTAATTTCCATTGGCAAGCAATATTATCGTGTGGAACCAAAGAAGCTGGGAAACCTAAACAAGAATTGCATTGCTGTATTTTGGGCCAATACAGATATTATCTCAACCACAAGCATCACTTATCAAGTTGTGGACCGCAGTACACCGGAATTTAGAGAGGTAACATCTTTTAGATAAACGAGAAGCTAATGCTGTAGGTATGTTACCTACGTTGACATTGAGATTTCTCATTATGTCATAAACGCCACCCAATGAACAAAAAAAAGTTAGGATCTGAAGGAAAACGTTTTGCTGCCGGATGATGCCTTGGTGAGGTCTTGGTTCAGAGTAAAAAAATACTTTTGGCGTTACGCCGACTCGATGGAACGGGCTCCTGACACTCGAAAAGGGGTTGGCTCAACTTCTAATCGTTACTCTCTCTACCAATAGCATTATTCGTTGTTAAGGGAGACTTAAAGATGCACGCAAACCTGTCCCTCTGGTCTGAAAAATCAGTTGTAAACACGGTTATAAAGAAATCCCGGAAACGCGAGTATAGAACGACGCCCTCCCGGCACCCCTCCCCTCTTGAAAGATCTTGTCTATTTCCCTGCAGAGTTTTACAGAGTTTGAATTTGAACTTTTTCATTGTTGTGAATTTTGCAGCAACTGGACAATACCTCCACTCTGCTTAAAAACTGCTCAGGGCTTACCGAGTTTAACGCAACATGGATGTTGGTGGTCACGTGGGAGAGAGTTTCACCATACGCTCGGTTTTTCTTTTTCAACCCCTACACTGATGAGGTATTTATCATAATAAGTGCTTTGATTTAAAATAGAGAAGTTTCGATTTGCGTGTAGGAAATAATTAATCCAGCCGGACTGGGTTGCTTAAAACGCGATTAACCTAACCCGAGGTCAGTGTAAATTTTTAATTTGCAGTCAATAGTTTTGCATAGGGATTTTTCCTTTGTTTGTTTGTTTTTCGAGTCATATTGAGATAAAACCCAACAAAGCCTTAGCTCTTATACGCGCCCTTCGACATGATAATTCAAAGTCTACGTTAACTTTTAATCGCGGATTAACGCTAACCCTCTTTGCAACAGCCAGCAAAAGATTGTTATACTGGCTTTACTTCACTTTGCTCTATGATGATTCCAAAAACTCACGCTCGAGTTTTCCTCTTAACCAAACAATACAAAATCAAAACAAAATCTTGGTTTTTCTTTTCTTTCATTTCAAATCTTTAAAAACGTAAAAATCCCTTTTGGAAACGTTTTTTTCAAACAAAAACGGTGCGTCATTATGGCCATTCCTTAACGCTTGAAAAAAATTTTGTTTTAAGTAAACTTTGGAAAAGGAGATGTCATTATCATGAGCCGCACAATATATATATCTTATTAACCAAGCGCGACGGCCGTACTGGGAGAGTATCGGCCCGAGGTCTTGACAGTACAGACCGAGCGCAGCGAGGTCCGTACAAAAAAGACCGAAGGCCGATATTCTTCCAGTACGGTCCCGAGCAAGCTTGGTTAATAAGAGATTTATTATACGACTGAAGTCCAAAGGGACACAAGTGCGGTATCATTCGGGACCATTCGGGACAGTGCCCGGTCCAATACTGAGAGAATATTGACAGGCAATAGAGCATTTTGATAGGTTGATTTTAGTTATTTAACCTCTGACTGCCCGAATCGTGTAATAAAAAATATTTTTTTGTGTTTAAGCACCATAAGTGCATTGGAAATCAACAATTTTTGAATAATGAAAATATTCCTTCAGTTGCGTCATTAAAACTAAAACAGGAGAATATCTGCACAATTCGCCAATTTAACAGCTTAACTAAATTCAATTTAGTTTTCTTTTACACTATATTGTATGAGGTTAAAACATTGCTATTTGAGACCGCAGGCACTAACGATACTTAAAACATCCTTTATTAGAGAAGCTCTTATCAGGCCGTCCTCGTCACAAATGGAACCTCCTCGTATATCATCTACAGCTACGAAGACGGTGGAATGAACTGGAATCGAAGGCTGCGACGAAAGTGCGCTGTTGGTTATGCCACAAAAGACAAAAAGTACAGCTTTGAGGACGAAGACTCCTTTAGTGAAAATATCTTTCAGATCGATTCTAAAGAATTCGATGTAGACGGAATTAAAACTCGTGGGACATTCTGCAAATCTTTAAATGCCCCAGATAAGCCTATAGAGTTAACAAACGAACAAAAGTGTATGAACTGGTATAATGAAGAGCCTGACCCCAAAGACTGGCTTGAAGAACTGACCGACTGCCCTGCAACCATACGGTCTGCACGTCGCGACAACCGTTACAGGAGAAGGAGCTCATCTGGTGCAAGAGTTCACTGCTACGAGCTTAGATTTCCCACCACGGAGTTCGGTGCGAGTCACCAGTGTTGTTATTTCGCTCGTAGAGGAAGAAGAGGTGGTGCTTTTGTTTCAGAGCCGCCTCAAGCTGGAAGAGCTTACAGGTTTGTAAATTAGTAACTGAATATAGGACAGAGAGGAATAGTAAAACTGGACCTAGTTTAGTCAGGAAAAATCAGAGGGATTTTCCGTCGATGAAGAAATTCTAGTGGCAGATATTTTTAAATTTGGTTATCACTGTCTCATCTGGCAAATGTAAGTGGTAAACGTGGCCTGTTCTCAGTGCTGAAGAGTGTTACAAACTTGCATCCTGCGTACTTGTTCCACATCCTGTAATCCTCACCTCGCCGCATCCGGCTCCCCCCTTTACAACCAGTTGGAGATCAGTCATTATATATCATCTGGCAGGGGTTGGCGGGGGGGAGGGGGCTGGAGGATTTTAGAGAGACCCGAGGGGGAATCTCTCTGAGAGATTTTAAAGAGGAATTATAAAAAAATTGGACTGTTAAGCAGGAGGGATCATTAGAACACTACATAACCAGGGGAGAGGGGGGAAGAGTCAGATAAATGCTGTTGCGACGCAACCACATTCCCCCGATACCAAGGCCATAACTAACGACACGTTATCAAAACGCGCGATGAAAGTCGTTTTGTTTTCATTTATTGGTTCCGCAGATATCATTTTCGCAACCAAGCCATGAGGCAGAAAGGTGACATCGAACCGTTTGAGGCTTGTTGCGGAGAAGGAGAGTCCCTATGCAATTTGTTTTACGAAAAGCGACCGCTGACCACCGCTGCCAGTTCCACTGAGTTTCCGCTGCCGTGCTCGTGCCGTCGATTAGCGGGCGGCTGTCGTCGAAGACCGTGCCGACCACGCCGTCGCCGACGACCTTGGATACTAATTATATTTGGTAGGTATGTCTTGAGCAAAGATGAATCATAAATGGCTGTTTAGATTTTCTTTTTGAGCCATGCACAGCGAACCATATTCGAGGGAAATTCAGGTTGCACAAAGGCTGTTGCGGTTTGATTTGAGTCGAGCAAGGCTGAATGAAATCTCGAAGATAAAGCAACATGAGAAAATATGAGATGTGTTGGACATAGTGTGGGCGGCGTGGCCGAGTGGTTAGGGTGCTGGACTTGTAAACCGGTGTCCTGGGTTCAAGTCCTCCACCCTCCCACTCATTGGATTTGTTCTCAGTTGCCCCTAGTTCAACTCCTCGGCTGCGCTCTGTAAATAGCCCACTGGTCTGCCTCCTACCAGTGGGGATTTTTAAGCTCTTAGTTAGTCAACATTGTGGCTGAAAAGCCCCTAAGGGGGAGCTTCAATTAACGTATATTATTCTTATTATTCTTATTATTATTATTACATTTTTTAATCATTTACAATTACATTGTTTGGATAATTATCTAAAGTCTTGCAGAGTCTTGATTTTGTTAAATTGCTTAGCTTATTTCCACAAAGTTCTGCATGCCTTGCGGATCAAGGGATTAGGAAAAATGAAAAAAAAAAATTTAGAGAAAGAACTTTTTCATCTTGTCACGAGCGTGGGACATGTTTCAGTGAAAATGTGTCGGAGCTCCATAATTGGACTCAGCTAATTTTGACCAGCGTAACACTTCTTTTAAATTTTTTATTCCAGTACGCTTCTGGGGAGACCCACACTTGCTTACTCTTGACGGCTTTCAGTACACCTTTAACGGCCTCGGAGATTACGTATTGGTTCGAACCCTGGATGGTTCAGTTCACCTTCACGCAAGGACAAAACGGCCCGTAACGACCGAGGGGGGACTGAGTAACGCTACCGTAATATCGGCTCTCGCTTTCAAGACCAAAGACAGTGACAAAGGACAGATTGCGTTTGATGACTCTGTCCCTGGCAACCTCAGCTTTACCATCACAGGAATGGACGGTTCCTGTAAGAACTTCACCATTGCTGATTTTGGCGAGGGCAAAGATTTCACGGGAATGTCAATCGAGAGAAGTACCATCAACAATAATACCGCCATCATATCGTTCCCGTCAGGCCTCTCTATCGAGGTGTCCCCTGGCTTAGAGCTTCTTCAACTGGGTGTCAAGGCGCCTGGCGATATGATGAACAAAACTGAGGGACTGCTTGGAAATTTCAATGGCGACAAGACAGATGAGCTGATGTATCCCAATGGCACAAAGATATCGAGTAACTCAACTGAGCAAGAGATATTTCACTTGGGACAACAATGTAAGTCTAACATTTAAATGCTTGGCGATGGGAAAAAATTTCTTTTGTTAACATGAAATCATAGTTTGTTCATTCGTTTGGTTTTTTTTCTCTTTTTACATCGTGTAAACCTCTTTTTTTTTTTTGTTTGAATTTGAACATAAATAATTACACCTTTAATGGCCTAGAAGATTGAGTGAACCACAAATAATTACACAGAGAACTGAGGAAAAGAGTCCCCGTGAAAATGTAGCGATATTTTAAGGGAAATCTTTGTGAGTGTTACAAGTTCGAAGATGCAAAATGAAACCATTCGATATGAAGGGTTGACGATAGATAAAGGGAACAAGTGTTTTTCTTCACGACTTCTTACATCTTTCGTCTAGCCTCAACTCAAAATGATACTTTTTACACCGTCACATCTAAGAAACTGCCTGGTATTAGTAGCACTACATAACGAATTAGAACTGATTACACCACACCACACTTACCCATTGAGACCCTCTAAGAATCTAAACACAGTTTTTGTAACAGAGAGAATAACGTCTGATCATAATGTCCACTCATTATTTTTTGTTTTCCTTTCTTGCTACCATCAGGGGTTGTTCCACATGACGAAAGACTTTTTGTATCCTCTAACTGTACGCTGCAGAATGTATCGTTTGACGACATGTTTGTTCCCGCCTTCTTGAACCTGTCTGCTGTTACGGATGAGATCAAAGAGATCTGTGGGGACAACAGAGAATGCTACTTCGATGTGATGCAAACTGGAAACAAAGAGCTTGCACAGGAGACCAAAGGATTTGAAGAGGAGACCGAGGCTGCTATAGCAGAATTAGGTAAAAAAAAGAAAACTAAATAAATGTCGCTGCGTTACTGACATATGATTTATTATCCTCGGCTTATAAAGACTGGGAATGACTTTTAAAAACACTGGATGTATTCCAGCTGTATTTTTCAGTATTGCGAATGGGGAAAAGAGACAGATCTAATTACCTTCGCAGAAATACCACTTATAATATTCGTGGATAACTTTTGATTTGATCAATAACCTTAAAGCTTCGGTTGACTTACTATATGTGGTTTCAAAGAGAAGTAAAAGGGAGCGGGGGGAAGCTCGGGGTCTCCCTCTCTCTAAACTAACCCTTAGAACAATATAGGAGGTTAACCTGTTTTCGTCATTACTATTTTAAGATCTACGTAAGTTAGAGCAATGCTGAAGCAAATGAAATGATTTTTTTTTCTATCAGAAAACACTCCTCCGAATATTACAGGACCAGCAGAAATCAACGTAACTGTGAATCAGATGACAAAATTTTACCTCACAGTGTCCGATGCTGACAATGATGACGTCACGCTGGAGGTGGAAGAAATACCCGAGGGGGCATCTTTCACTTTTAACGCATCGGAAAATGTCGGCCATTTCTTTTGGACGCCTGTCAATGCGTCTAACATCACGTTAGAATTCGTTGCCACCGATTCCAAGAATGACACATCTGTTCACCCTGTTGTGATCAACATGTGCAGATGCGAGAACAATGGAACTTGCGATTTCACGGAGTCCGTTGGAGATGACACCGGCCCCTTTCGCATTGTGGGATGTAACTGCAGTGATGAATTCGAGGGTAACTTCTGTGAGATGGAGGTACTTGACGCATGCGCAGATGATCCTTGCGCCGATAACGTGACTTGCAATACCACAAGGAACCCATTCGGGTTTAAATGCGGGCCATGTCCTCCGGGATTAACCGGCAATGGTGAAGACTGCTTTGGTAAGAGGTGTCTCCTTTGTTTTTGCCATCTGGGTAAATTGCGAAAGGACTTTGAGATATCGTAAATGGTTTAGGGTTTGGAAACTTTCCATCAGCTAAGATTCCGTAGAGAAGGCTCGTTTAAAATAAATTAGGGTGAAAAAGATGTTCATCTTAATTGCACTTAGTCAGGTTCAATTCGTAACTGTTCATCATCTACTTATGGAAATGTGATGGCTTTTCCACAAACTCTCCTTTGCTGGATAAAATAAAAATGTATCGCACATCCTTGGAAAGCTTTTCTTTTTTATCCATTCGTTGTGGTTAAGATCTTTTTGCTTTTTTGTGTGTTTGTTCTTAGAATATGACGAGTGTGCAAATGAAAGTCTCAGCCAGTGCAACCAGACCTGTGTGAATACGTTTGGCAGTTTTAGGTGTGAATGCAAGCAAGGATACACATCACGCGATGAAGGAAGGATTTGCGAAGGTAGTTTAAATTTTAATTAATCATTCAATTTAAGGAAAAACTGTTAAACCCTAATCAAGATGGCTTCTAATACATATCGCTGTAGCGTTTAAAGTCTCTTTTTAGTTGAGAACTTAGTACTAATTTCACTTCTTTAGAACTAGACTTGACTTTGAGCTTTGTGGTCTCTTTATAGTATGAAAATTTTCGAAGACACTTAAAATTACTGCTTAATACATCTCTGTGCTTAACATTAATTGGCTCAATGAGTACAATTTTTGGGTTTTTTGAGCAAAAATTTATTTTCAATGTACTTGAAACTTGTTTATGAATTAATGAAAGTCTTTTACATTTAATTTCGCATTGCTGTTTTTCTCACCGACATTCGCTTCGCAAACGAAGTTCTGAAAGGAACGATGTAATAGCAAATGTAATTGTACTCTTTTAGATATAAACGAATGTCAAGATGCGGGCAACCTTAACAACTGTTCGGAGAATGCATTCTGCACCAACTTACCTGGTTCACATAATTGCACGTGCAACCCTGGCTATGAAGGTGATCCAATGAAAAACTGCACAGGTACAGTGAATCACAATGGTGTTTAACTTTAAATGCGTGAAACGTACATATTTGAGTTTTACTTTTAAGAAAAAAAACATTCACGAAATAACGAGCAAGTTAACCGATGAAGGAAAGGCGCTAGGAAGGAAAAAGAAAAGAAAAGAAAAAGGCATACGAATGGAAAGAAAACTAGAGGAGTTAAGAACAATGAACATGCAGAGGGACAAATGATATGAAGAAGAATCTTATCGATGATAGCTAATAGAAGGAGAAAGGAGGAAGCCAGGGTGCGAAAGAAAAGTAACAATAAGAAGAAGGACACATAGAGAACGACTTGATAAGCCAGAGTAGAAAATAGTTCTAACTGACGGCGAATTTTGTCAGCAACGAATAAGGAAGAGTATATGTTTGTGAATTAATGCACAAGTAAATGATTGAAGGACAATCAAAAATAATAATGTTAGTAAGTTGCAATAGCCCATTTCCGAATTACCCTTTTGCCTCTTTTTTAAAGCGAGTCCTGGTGCTTATCCTTTCATATTATAATACGTTTTCATTCACATGCAAATTAAACTCATTTTCATAAGAATGGTTGCGCATCAGGCCACCTTTTGAAAAAGAGGCCGAGGGTTACTCGGAAATGGCCAGTTGCCCTCCACTCTCCAACGGAAGGCAGATCGGCTGATTCACAGCACGAGTTTTATAACAAATCATTATATGATGCTGGAGTAAAATGAATATTAAAAATGCACATAATAATGACTTTTAGCACGGCCAGTTACCATCATGATAATAATGTGAACCTCTTCTTCTTCTTCTTCTTCTTCTTCTTCTTCTTCTTCTTCTTCTTCTTCAGATATCAATGAGTGTGATAACGGCGTGGCACGGTGTTCTCACACTTGTCATAACGAGCCAGGATCCTTCAAATGTTCCTGTCAAGCTGGTTTCAAACTTGCTGCTAATAACCAAACTTGTTATGGTATGTATCTCTCAACTAGTAGAATTACGACTTTAAGGGACACCGCGTGCCGGACTCCATAGCGAGAAGTCTGGGTTGGACCTATGAACGGGGCATTGTGTTGTATTCTGGGGGCATAACACTTTACTCTCACAGGGATTCTCCTCTTTCAGAGTTTTATTTGGGTATTGGAAAAATTCAACAAAAGACCTGAAAAAATGTTAGTGGTTGGGGAGTGAGGGCGGGGAAAGGAAAACCACAGTTTTTTGGTGAAAGAATGTTTCAAATTCTATACTTTTCCTAACTTTGATTGATCGTTTATAGTGCACTTGACCGATAGGCAATTTTTTTCTTCTTAGATATAAACGAATGCGAGGGCAGCCATAACTGCGAACGCATGTGTGAAAATCGCATTGGATCCTACATTTGCAAGTGTCCGCCCGGTTTTGAACTGAATTCCGATAACGTCACGTGCAAAGGTAAGACAGATCTTTTGTGATTTTGAGTCGCTTTTGAAATGGGCTTAGAAGTTATCTCTTTTTAATATAGGCACTCATAAAGTTCCCGGTTGCCTAAATTATGAAATTTAAGCTTACATTCCTATTAATAATCAAGTTTATCATGTTTTATTTAACGACCAAGCAAGAAGATTTACCAGCTCTCTTAGTCCATTCCCGTGTGAGCTTCCAAGATCTGAAAGCATCTTCTCCTATCTACTGTCTAGCATGTTTTCGTCAGAAGCTGACGTAGATTTTCAGCTTTTTGAGCTGAGGTTACGTCCACTTATTCTCTGCATTCTTGCTCTTAAAATTCGTTCAAAATTTTCTGTATTATAGTATGCAACAAATGTAACAGATCATTATATGTCCAACTGTGGATACGAATCAATCTCCTAATATTGATAACATCTGTCACTTGTTCACTCATTCTTGATAGAGACAGGTTAAAACTCGTACCCATGCGCGGCCGTGTAATATGCTCCACTGTTATTATATTGTGCTATTTACAGTGGCGCAAGCCAGCGCATGTGACGCAACAAAAGGTAACTGCTCCGATATTTGCGTGAACAGGACGGGAGAGATCACGTGTTTTTGCAAAACTGGTTACAATCTTACAGCTGATAGAAAGACTTGTGAAGGTAACGGCAAATTGTTGTTGTTTATTATTTATTGTTTTCTATCAACTTTATTGCTGTTATAAGTAACATACAATACAGTAAGTCAATAAAAAAGACCACAAAGGATTGTGCTAACGGGAAAAGTATCTCATGCACGGCGCAACGTACCCTAAATCTAATTTAAAAATCTGATAAGGAATTTAAATTTTGATCAAATTATAATAAATCTAATTCATTACTAATAGTCACGGTAAACTGCAATTAAAATCATTCAGATAGAAATTAAGAGCAGTGACAAGAGCAGTTACGGGAGAGGAACCAGATGCAGGGCATGTCAATATTATAAGTTGATATCATAAATTGATGTTTTAAATCTAATATTATAAATTGATTTCCAAGTTGTAAATATGAAGGCTAAGTAAGGTTTTATTAATATCATGAAAGGTATAATTTAAGTAATGAAATCCTGGAGCATGAAATCTCGCATTAGCATGTCACTAATAACATGTTTGTAGTCTGGGGACTTGACAAGCTAATCTAACATCGTATCAACCTCTAAGCAGCTTATATAAGCGTATGAAGCAACTAACTAACGATATGTCCCTGTCCATTGCTAGATATCAACGAGTGCATGATGGGAAACCATGGCTGTAGCGAGAAATGTCTCAATACTAACGGAAGTTTCGCATGTGGCTGTCATCCGGGATATGCCTTAACCGAAGATATGAAATCTTGCAGAGGTAAAATACATTTTTCGAGGCTATTTTATGATTGGATTAATCCCCCCTTTCTTTCCACTTCAACTTTCCAGAATAATCGTATTTTCCCCTGTTTATACTCTTAAAATAACGCATGGGATGCATGGGCCCCTTTTTGAGAACCCAGCTTACCCCATTTCAGAATTTTTTCCATTTTACATTCTTTAATCCAAACCTGACACATGCTACTCCATACTCTTGAATCGACACCCCATTTCAAATTAGATGGACATGTAAAAACCATTACTTATTTTTAATTTGTCTGTTTTGGATGCTTCTATTCAGTAGGGTGCATACCTGACTCAGACCTTAGTCAAAGATGGTTTACTAAACCATCCACAAATGGTCAAAGTCGATACCTGCTTTAGTCAAAACGGGTCCAAAAAAAAAAAAAAACACACACACACTTCTCAGGCCCACACGTACTCGTATAATCTTTATAAAAGAGAATGCTCTCCTGGGGAAGTTTCATCAGTTTTTCT